GAGTACCGTCTCTGCCTCCCTGGTTAGAGGTAGCAACCACGAGTGGAAAACCTTGGGGTGCTATGAATAAGAAGCTGAGGTTCAACCAAAGATAATAATCTCTGATCGGCTCATCCAAATTTGACTTCTAAAAGCATCTCCCAGTGGACAGCACGGGTGGGCAGGGACAGACGATAATTTGGTTTATCTTAGTCTTACAGAATGGGTAGATTCATTGGGCATTCAACTCTGTACTGATGAAAGCTTGTGTCCACACCAGTACTTTCCTCCTTGGCAGTATGTGACACGGGTAGATAACCTTCCCTTATTTAACTCACAGTCAAGTGTATTCTGAGTCTGAATCCTGAAATCTTTTAAGTCGTGGCTGGCTCACTGAACAAAATGAGGGACAGAGAGACAAAACCAAGGGGATATCACCTTATTTTGTTTCCTAATTTATCCTTCCTTGGGTAATTCACCCAACAGGTCAGCTTTCGTTGGGTTATTTCCAAGAGCTTCACCCTTCTCTTCACCCCACAATTCCCTTACCCTTTGTGGATGAATTTACCTGTTTTGGGGAGGCCCACAAATAGATTATTGAGCTCTAACTTGTGTCACTTTACCTGAGAACCATTAATAAAATCGGATTGTTTTCTTTGGATTTATTGGCAGGAGGAGGTGAGGTGAGGAAGTCTGCCGCTCGGTAAGTGAGATACACTTAATTTTAGCTCCTACATTACATGTATGTTTGCTCTTGAATGAACATTTCTCTGTTATTTTTAGTAAATCAAAGGAAACGGCAGCTACTTGTACATCTGGGTATTTTGAATTGAAACCAGACTGTACCTTGCGAATACAGGACAACATCTGTTCTGGGAAGTGTTTCTGAAGGCGTGTGAATATTTTGATGAGTCTTTGAGTTGGTTACCTGGGCTGTTCTGTTGTTTTCCAAAATATAGATTTCGGTTCACTAAGGCCACTCTTATGGATGCTATTGTGTAGTATTGAACTGTGCTGGAATGACTGATGTCCTTCCTAGTAAAAAATGGAAACATGGGGATAGTCTTTCAAAGCTGACGATGGGACTATGAAAGAGCACAAATGTCGTCAAGCTCTGCCCCTCATCCCCCTTCTTCAAGGTAGCTTGGGTGGTAGGAATGGTTAACATCCACGGATACTTCAGTGGTGTGCCAGGCAATCACAGATTTCCTCGCTGTGAATTAACTAGTGTTCTTACAAAAACCCTATCCTGTGAGGTAGCCTCTTTTTAAAGGTGAGGAAACCGAGGCATAGATGAGCTTTGGTGATTATTGATCATTCTGGTCTGGATGAGCCCCAGATTTCCTGGGCTCACCTTGTCAAAGGCCTGGAAACTCCAGAGGCCAAGCAGGGGACTCTGGTATGAGGAGTTCCAATGCTGGGACTGGCCTATGGTTAAGAGTCCAAACTTTTACACTGTGGTTGGTGGCATCCTTCTAGGAGTCTCTCTTTTCTCCCTGCTGAGCTCTCTGACTTTGGCTGCAAAATTTTCCGTATGCCCTGTTTGAGCCCTTCCCACCATTTGAAACTTCCTGGGTTTTTGCTCTGGCATCTCTGACTCATTCTGGCCCGCGCTCCCTCATCCTCCCTGGGGTCTCTGTAGGATATTATTTGGTTGTTGGTATGTGAGTATTTATAGTTCTAGCATTGGCTTTTTCTTTAAAGCAAAACCTAAAACTCCTTAGAAAATAATTGGAACTTCAGGAAGAGCTTTCTGGTTGATTTTTACACTGCTCAATAGACTGTGATGTGCTCACGAGTTGCTGGAAGACAGACTGGAGTTGGGCTTTGAGGCTGGGGGTCCTCTCAGGCGCCTCCTACCAAGGTCTTTGTGTGGACATCCTCTAGGGCTGGGGACCTGCCGCCCTTCCACTGGAGCCAGTTGATTAAAAAAGCAAACAAACAAACAAAAAACTCCACAATACGCTTTTTTTCTGCACTTCTTACCGTAGCCTTATTTCTATTAAAATGCTTTAAAAAACCAGGAACTTGGGGCCCTGGAATGCCATCAGAATTGACTGCAGGGGATGAGAAAGTGACAACTCCAGTAAAATGTCCCATTGTCCTCAAGCAGTAGGGAACAATGGTGCCCATGAAGGTGGCCAGGCGTGGTCCGCTCCTATGCATGGGAGCTGGAGCCAGCAGAGTGGGTGAAAAAAAGGCTCTGGCTAAAAAGCCGGGCTTCTAGGAGTTTGATCCCTGTTCCACAGGCTGGTTGACCCTGGGCTTCTCTGGGCCTCTGTCTACCCATATCCAAATGGCGATAATCCTAGGGCTCATGTGAGGATGACATGTAGTAATGATCTATAAATATGAGCTCCTACTAATGGTGTTCATCCAAAATTTCAGCTCACAGCTACTTTATATTGTGCATGCCCCTGTTGGCAGGGAGCCCGGCCTGGAGGGAGGGTACCTCTGCACCCAAGTCTGCATCTGCCCCCAGAGACGCCGAGTCTTCTTTCTGAAGGTCCTGTGGCTCCCATCTTCCCACCATGCAGGGCTGTAAATGAGATGATTGTCAAGGGCAGTCCTAAGCCTGAGTATGTGCACGTCCACAGACAGAGCTCCTTTGGGTCGATTTACAGAGCTGGCCCTTCAGGCACGGGTCCCCAGCTTCCCAGGCAGAGCAGAAAAGTGCAATTCTTCCATGTCAGCTGAGCACATGTGAGTGGCTGGGAACCACCCTCACCCCCTTGCGCGGAACAAGACGGGAAGGCTGGGCTTCACAGAGACTCGGACGACCAGTTTTAAAATAAATAAGCTGTATTATCTGTACAAAAAATATAAATACAGTTTTGTGTTTTAGAGGAGGAAGTGCCTCCTTCCACATTATTTAGCCGCTCTAATCATCTTGTGCTGCTGTTGAGTCACGATTCACAGAACAAACAGTAAATGTACATTCATTTCATGCAAGGAGCATGCTACCTCTTACCCCAAACCTAGGTCCTCCAGGCTCGCTCTGAAACCCACTCCAACTGCTGCAGCCTGACACGAGGCAGAGTGGGAGGACACCTGCTATTTAGGAAACATAAATATTGGCCACTGGTTTTCCATAGCTATTGAACTAGAAATAACCAACCACGTTAGTTCGTAGTACGGAATCGGTCTTCTTCATTCCATGCATAACTATTGCCTCTTACTGCCCTGTCATCCCATGTTAGCTTTACAACGTATTCTGTACACAGTGAATGGATCTGGAGTTAAACATCAGGTTCTATTAAAAATAGGAACAATACAATAATTACCACTGAGTAGTTACAGGAACACAACCGCAGGAAGTTAATCAAAAGTCCCCCAAATATTTTGTTTTCCGATGACAATGTACAATTATTAATATTGCACTTTTTTATTATACAAGAAATCCTAATAAATATTCACAAAAGATATACATAGAAAACATTCTCTTTTATTTTAAATAAACATGACACTGATTTTTAGTAACGTGATTTCTTAGAGCCTATTGTGCTGAGGAAGAAAGAGACCCACCTTAACTGTTCATAGCTCCCCGGGGGAGACACAGCTTAACAGTGTCTCCCCCCTCCCCTGCCCCATCTCTGAGTTCCAGGCGCCCGGGTATCAGGGGTGGCCCTGGGGCTGAGTGGCATTTTGTGAGTCCGTGTGTGGGAGGTGGGGGGGGGGCGGGCAGTTGATCCAAGGGGTGAGTGACGGTGGCCAACAGGGGGGAGGTGGCCAAAACCACTCACCCAAAGCCCCTCTGCTGAAAGAGCAATTTGCCAGATAGTCCCAGAGTTTCAGGTCTGCCACTAGACAGGGCCCTGGCCATTTTACTGTAGCTGACGGGCACTTCTGGAAGGGCGTGTGCTGCCTTGCTCACCGAATTCCTAAAACGGGTGGTATTCATTCTCGTAAGGTTCGTAGTATTTCATTGTGTGGGGGGAACGGGTTGAAAAGCCTTTGAGGACCCTCCTGCAAGCTGTCGTTACGCTACAGCTTCGCCACCGCACCCCGCCACCCTGCCCTAAGTTGCTGTGCGAACAGGAGGGCAGCTCTTGTGCCCCTGGAATGGCCCGCACAAGCCGGTGTCGGGCCCCTTGTCCCTTTGTCTGGCCAGCTCCGGAAGTGGCTCCTGGGACCTGATGGATCCTCTCTGGCACACTGACCCCAATCCCTGGCCCTTAAGTGGAGCAGCATCGGCCATCGAGGCAGAAAGCCCAGGCTATTCACGCTCCAAATGCCCCTGGTCCCCATCAGCAGTTAATCCTGGGTTGGGGTGGGGGTGGTGCAGAGCTCGTGACTTAGGGAGAGATGCCAGGGGTGGCCGATGTCTCACTAGCTTTGCTAGGGGTGTACAGGCAGAACGTTCACCGAGACGGCATGGGGAATGCAGACTCCCCCCACCCCCAACCCCAAGGGGAGGGTATGTCTTCTACCCCGCAGCATGGGCCCCCAGGGCCTGTGCCCTCTAGGAGGGCAGCAGAATTTGGAGTGTCCCTTCCCGGAGCCTCGGGCCTGCTCGCTCCTCTTCATCTACCTGCGCTTCCCTGCTGAGGGCTGTGCACAGGCTTCTTTTTGCTTCCGTACCCTTCCCCCCGACTTTGTAGAAGTTCTGCCTCAAGTGTGCTGTAGGCCCACCTGGATGGTCTCCTCCTGACTGCTCTGTATGGGTGCTTTGAGTTCTCACAGCTCCGCACCCGAAGCACAGAGTTGTGGCCTGGGTTCTGCTCACGATGGTGTCCTCCCCTCAGGCGGAGGTCGGGGGGGGGGGAGGGGGGAGGACACAAAGCAGCAGTACACTCCTGGGTCGACAGCGTGCTGCCAGGGAAGACACAGTTGGTTGTCCGAAGTCTGCATCAAGGCTTTCCAAGCGCTGTCACCCTACCTGCCTGTCTCTCGTCCGCTCTTGGCCCTGACTCCCTGCTGTCCCCAGGAGCTGTGCTGGCCTCTTGCTTGGTCTGTCTGGGACCCGGGCTGGGGAAGGCATCTGCTCTGCAACCTCCTTTAGACCCCTTTCCTTGTCTTTCCCTGACATTCCTGTCCTCCAGCTAACTGAGAGAGGGCATGCTGAGGTCCTCACGTCTGGGGTGGGGGGAGGAGGTCGGACGAGGGCGTGTGTGGTGGGGGGGCAGGGAGAGGGCAATAAATAAATAAACCAAGAAAGCTTAAGTTCTGTCCCAGGTGGGGGCGTGAGTCCTCTGTGTGGCCAGGGTGCAGTTCCTCCCTGGGCCCCGCCTTCACGCTTTGCCACAAGTCCCACAGCAGCGAGATTGGAACGGGCTGAGTTGGCAGAGTTTCAGCTGTTTCACCTTCTCGCAGTACCTGGTGGTATCTCTGCACTCCACTGGGAAAGGGGACAGAAGAGAGACGTGAAACAGAGCCCAAGGGCTGTGGCCACGGGGTGCTTGCTGGGGTCTGCCTGGGGCATTGGGCTCCGGGGCTGGAGGGGCCGCTGCTGTCCACTCTGGTGGAACTGTGCCCCGTGCCTCCCAGGCTGCCCCTGGGGTTCCCGTGGCTGGCTGGGTGACGGGACCTGCTCTGTTTTCCTCTCTCCTCCTTCCCCTGACCGGGCCTGGCCCGAGCACTGTGGCATGCTAGCTCAGCACTGGCACAAACGAGACGGTCCTCCAATACTGGTGCTGATTTGGGTGGTGGACATCTGTGATTAACACTGTAAGTCTGAACTACTTTGATTGAATATTAGTACGGATGGTGGTGAGCTCTTGACACACAGATGGGCCGGCATCACCCACAGAACAAAGATCCCCTCTCCCCGGTGTATAAGCAAGGGGACAGTGTGCCCACAGGCATCTGTCTCAGCCTTAGCAATCCGATGCTTAGAGAGGCCCCGTTTGGGGGGAAACCGCATGGCAATGTTTTAACATTTCTTATCCTTTGCCTCGGACTTTGTCTTCGTCCCCCCTCCAATTTGTTTTGGGTCCAGAGGAAGAAAAAATACCCAACCGGGATACAAATGCCAATGTCAGGTGGAGGAGGATCTAGACTCGAGGGAGGGGAGAGTGAAGGAGGATCAGATCTCGAGGGCATGGGCTCCTGCACAATTTCGGTGGGCGCCCCTGGGGCGGCAGCTCCTTGTTCTGTGAGAGGCAGAGCCATGATGGGTGCAGGGCCAGCTGGGCAGGAGGCGCTCGGCATGCTCGTCTCGTGTGGGCAGTACTTTCTGTCTAGTGGCCTGGCCCCTGGGAGGCATTGTCTGGTTGTCCTCTCTGGGTCCCAGCCAAGCTACTGCAGGTGAGCTGGAGGCTGATTTCATTTAGCACTGGGCCAACAGCACCTGGCTTTGCTCAGTGCCTCAGGGCACACTCAGCCATCCTTGGGGGCCTGGACATGAGTATACACCTCCTTGCACACGTCTTGGCTTGCTTGCAGGTGCCCCTCTGAAAACACCCAACTCTGACCCGCGCTCACCATTCTTGGGAAACCTGATCCAGTGCCCTAGGCTCAGGTTTGGGCCCAGGGCCTGCCCTGGCCTGCCCCTGATGGCCTATGGGGACCTGGCAGAAGGCTCTTTGGGGTTGGAACGTACTGTTTTCACATGGGGTGATGTTGCAGCGCTGCCAGTTGGCGGGCCGGGGCCCCCAGGAGCACAGGTGTTCGGGCACGGCCTTGTTGGTGCGGGCGTGCACACACTCCACGCGCCGGGCCTGGAAGCCGTAGTTGCCGCATGTTGCCGTGCACAGGCTCCACAGGCTGACCCTCCAGTGTACACCGCAGGCTTCTGACCAGCAGTTCTGGGTGCTCACGGGCCTGCAGGAGGAGGGGGACGGGGTTAGGGTCTGCCGCCGCGGGGCTGGGATCAGGGATCAGATGTGAAAACCGTGTTGCAAGCCCAAGAAGGCTAGGCAACTCTTCAAGTCTCTTGTGCTACCAGAGGTGGGTTCTGATCTCTGTTCAGTTAGCGAGGGGCTGTAGGATCTCAGAAGGCTCTCACTGGGCCCCTGGGTGCTCAGCTCTACAAAGTCTGTATCACTGCATGAGCCAAGAATGCGGTCTCTGCAGGATGGGGGCTGGTAGGGGCAGGGCCTGGGGCGGATGGTAAGCTCTCACCCCAAGGAGACATCCACAGGCCAGTAGGACCAGGAATGGGGACTGGATAGGAATGATAGGTTTAGACCCAGGGATCAGCGCCCTTATTTTAGTGTAACTTCTATCGGAGGGCCAACAAAGGTGAGGGGCTGCTGGAGTCCTTGAGGTCTGGCGGCCGCCGCGTGGACCTCACGTCCTGCCCACCTTGGTGCGAGTGCAGATCCCCTGCGGTATCAGGCCACCCTCAGAACAGCACCCTCTGTAATCTTTATCTCCAAAAGAGGAAAGCCCAGCCTGGCCCATGCAGTAAGTGCAAGGCCACCACGGGGCCATCTATGTCTGGGGAGAACGAGGTGAAAGGGAAGGGCATCTGACCACAAGGATTGTGGGATGTTGGAAGATAAACATCCGCTCAACACTCTCTTTCCGTGCTATTGACATAGGGCCTGGGGAAAGGAGGTCCACGGCTTTCTCTTACCTGGGAAGGGCACTGCACTGCTCTGATGGTAAAGTGATGCCGTCCTGTGTTTGGCAGAACACTTGTCTGTGTTGCACGGCTAGGTGAGGACCGATGCAGGGCCCGTTGCACTGGGAAGCAGATAAAAGTGACACGTATAATGTTAGCCAAGTTAAGGGGGTGGGGGCGCTGCAATGCTCAGGCTGCACGGGACACAGAATTCTTCTGAGCATTTTGTCTGATGCCTTCCGATCATTCATCTTGCCCCTCCTTGCATCCACTAAAGGACATTCACTGGCACATTTTCTTCTCTTTGTGCCATGGCGGAATGGTTAGCTTTCCTGTGGTCTATCAGCATTCTGTTAGCAAACGGCTAATGGTCGTGTAGAGCCGGTCAGAGAAATGTGCACTCCCTCCCCAGATGAACCGTATCAAAGGGCTCGTGGCAGAATGCGCTAAGAATGTGGTGTGGTAAGCTTTAGAGCAGAAGACCTCTAAGTGCCCCTTCAGTCCACAGGGCAATTGGGTTTGTTGTTTTCTTGCTAAATTCATTCAAGTTAACAAGTCCATCATTTCTTTCCTTTCTTTGGCTTCAGTGTTTCCAGGTTAGACCCAGCGCGGCTGAACAGAAGTAGACTTAGGTATGTATAGTTAGTCTCTGCTCAGATTCTCCTGCTAGGTGCTCATAGAGATGGTTAAGCCTCTCCCTGAGTTGCCAGAGCCAGACTATCACAGCAAATACCTCATCCCAACAACAGTGTCCCTGAGCCAGCCAGCCCTTAGCCAGCATTTGCTACTTGAGTAGAGTAAGCGGACAGACATCCCTTAGAGGTCACTTTCGAAAAAAAGCTCTTGGGGATCTTTGGACTCCAAGGGTCCACAGGGGAGCTATTTTTTTAATTTATTTTTAAGATTTTTTATTAATATGTTAAAATACATTACATCATTAGTTTTTGATGTAGTGTTCCATGATTCATTGTTTGTGCATAACACCCAGTGCTCCACGCAGAACGTGCCCTCCTTTCTTTAATACCCATCACCAGGCTAACCCATCACCCCACCCCCTCCCCTCTAGAACCCTCAGTTTGTTTTTCAGAGTCCTTCGTCTCTCATGGTTCGTCTCCCCCTCCGACTTACTCCCCTTCCAGAATGTGTGCATATCTTGTTTATTATAAATAATACAATGAATATGGGGGTACATATGTCTTTTTGAGTTAGTGTTTTTGTTTTCTTTGGATAAATTCTACCCCAAAGTGGAATTGCTTGTTCATATTATGGTTCTATTTTCCATTTTTTGAGAAACATCCCTCCTGTTTTCCACAGTGGCTGCATCAATTCATATTTCCACCAATAGTGTACAAGGGTTCTCTTTTCTCCATATCCTTGCCAACAGTTGTTATTTGTCTTTTTGATAATCATTTTAACAGGTGTGAAGTAATATCTCATTGTGGTTTTGATTTGCATTTTCCTGATAATTAGTAATTATGTACTAAGATATATTTTCATGTACCTGTTGGCCATCTATATATATTTTGGGAGGAAGGTCTATTCAGATCTTCTGTATGTTTTAAAAATTAGATTTTTTCTTTTGGTTACTGAGTTGCATGAGTTCTTTATATATATATATATCTTAAAGATTTTATTTGAGAGAGAGTGAGAGAGAGCATGAGAGGGGAGAGGGTCAGAGGGAAAAGCAGACTCCCTGCTGAACTGGGAGCCTGATGCAGGACTGGATCCTGCAACTCCTGGATCATGACCTGAGCCGAAGGTAGTTGCTTAACCAACAGAGCCACCCAGGCTCCCCTCTTTATATATTTTGGAAAGTAGCCCCTTATGAGATTTATGATTAGCAAATATTTTCTCCCATTTAGTAGCTTGTCTTTTCATGTTGTTGATGATTTCCTTTGCTGTATAGAAGCTTTTTAGTATGATGTTGTATTGCTTATTTTTGCTTTTGTAGCCTTTGCTTTTGGTGTCAGATTAAAAAAAAAACTGGCAATGCCTGTATCGAAGGACTTGCTACCTACTTTTTTTTTTTTTTTTTGAGAGAGAAAGAGCATGAATGGGGGGAGGGGCAGCGGGAGAGAGAGAGAGTCTCAAGTAGGCGCCATGCTCAGTGTGGAGCCCAACATAGGGTTTGATCTCATGATACTGAAGTCATGACCTGAGCCGAAATCGAGAGTCGGATGCTTAACCGACTGCGCCACCCAGGTGCACCTGCCTATGTTTTATAAGAGTTTTATGGTTTCAGATTTTTCAAGTCTTTAATGCATTTGAGTTCATTTTTGTGTATGGTGTAAGATCGTGGTTAATTTTCATTCTTTTGTATGTGGCTGTCTAGTTTTCCCAACCTCATTTATTAAACAGACTGTCCTTCCCTCACCATATATTCTTGGCTTCTTTGTAGTAAACTAATTGACCATATATACATGAGTTTAATTCTGGGTTTCTATTTGTTCAATTGATCAATGTCTGTCTTTATGCCAATACCTTACTGTTTTGATTACTGTACCTTTCTATTCATTTATTTGAGAGAGAGAGAGTATAAGGGGGGGGAGGGTCAGAAGGAGAAGCAGACTCCCCACTGAGCAGGGAGCCCAATGTGGGGCTTGATCCCGGGACTCTGGGATCATGACTTGAGCAGAAGGCAGCCAGGTGCTTAACCGACTGAGCCACCCAGGCTCCCCGTTGATTACTGTAGCTTTTTAATAGAGTTTGGAATTAGGGAGCATGAGGCCTCCCGCTTTGTTCTTCTTTCTCAAGATTGCTTTGGCTATTTGTTTTGTTTTGTAGTTCCATATAAATTTTAGGATTATTTGTTCTAGTTCTGTGAAAAATGCCATTTGAATTTTGATCGGGATTGCATTTAATCTGTATATTGCTTTGGGCAACATGGACCTTCTATCAATATTCATCCTTCCAATCCATAAGCACAGAATATCTTTCCATATATTTGTGTCATCTTCAGTTCTTTCATAAATATCTTCTGGTTTTCAATAATCACCTCCTTGGTTAAATTTATTCCTAGGTATATTTTTCATTTTGATGCAATTGTAAATGGGATTGTTTTCTTCATTTCTCTTTCTGATTGGTGATTTTTGTATATTGATGTTGTATCCTGCAACTTACTGAATTTGCTTATTATAGCTTTTTGATAGAGTCCTTAGGGCTTTCCATACATAATAGCATATCATTTTTGTTCTTACTTTTTAAATTTGGATGCCTTTTATTTCTTATCTAATTGCTCTAGCTAGGACTTCTTATACTATGTAAAATAAAGATGGGGAGAGTGGGCATCCTTCTCTCATTTCTGATCTTAGAAGAAAGGCTTTCAGCTTTGTACCGCTGAGGATGATGTTAGCTGTGGACTTGTCATATATGGCCTTTATTATGCTGAGGTACAGTCCCCTTTATACCCACTTTGTTAAGAGTTTTTGTCATGAATGGGTATTGAATTTTGTCAGATGCTTTTTCTGGATCTATTGAGATATGATTTTTAGCCTTCATTTTGTTGATGTGGTGTACCACATTGATTGATTTGTGGATGTTGAACTATCCTTGCATCTGAGGTAAACTTCATTTGCTCCTGGTGTATGATTCTTTTAATATATTTTTGAATTTGGCTAGTGAAAATTTTGTTGATCTTTGTATCTATGTTCAGCAGGGACACTGGCCTGTAATTTTCTTGTGCCTGACTTCTTTCAGTTAATGTTTTCAAGGTTCATTTATATTGTAGCATGTATAGAATTTCATTCCTTCTGAAGGCTGGATAATACTCTATTGTAAGTATATACTACATTCTGTTTATCCATCTGTTAATGGACATTTGGTTGTTTGCACCTTTAGGCCATTGTGATGCTACTGTGAACATTAGTGTACATATATTTGTTCAAATCCTTGCTTTCTGTTGTTTTGACTGTACATCCAGAAGTGGAATTGCTGGATCATATGGTAATTCTATGTTCAGTATTTTGAAAAACTGCTATACTGGTTTCCACAGTAGCTGTACCATTTTACGTCACCATCAACAGTGCACAATGGTTCCAGTTTTTCCACATTTCCACCGATGTTTAATTTTATTTTTAAAAATAATGAAGTGGTATCTCATAGTAGTTTTAATTTGCATTTCCTTAATTGCTAGTGATGTTGAACATCTTTTCATGTGTGTCTTGTCCATTTGTATGTCTTTGGAGAAATTTTTATTCTAGGCTTTGTGTTTTGTTGAGTTGTATTGATATTTTGGATATCAATCCTTTATCAGATTTATGATTTGCAAGTATTTCCTCACATTCTGTGGGTTGTCTCCTCACTTTGGTGTCCTTTGATGAAGAAAAGCTTTCAATTTTGATGACATCCAGTTTATCTAATTTTTCTTTAACTGTCCTTTTAGTGTCCTATCCAAAAAATCATTGCCAGTCCAGTATGATGAAGCTGCTTCCCTATGTTTCTTCTAAGAGCTTATACTTTTAACCCTTACATTTAAGTCTTTGATCCATTTTGAGTTAATTTTTGTATATAGTTAAAATAAGGATCCAGCTTCATTCTCTAGCATGTGGCTATCCACTTTTCCCAGCACCATTTGTTGAAAGGCTATTCTTTTCTCATTGAATGATCCTGGCACACTTTATATGATCCTATGTACAAAAGTTTATTTCTGGGCTCTCTATTCCATTCCCTTGGATTATATGCCAGAACTACACTGTTTTGGTTATTGTAGCTTTTATATATAAATATCTAATAAATAATAAATTTTGTTATTAAATAAACTACGACTCAACAAAACACAAAGCCTAGCATAAAAATTTCTCCAAAGAAGACATACAAATGGACAATACACACATGAAAGGATGTTCAACGTCACTAGCAATTAAGGAAATACAGATTAAAACTGCTATGAGATATGACTTCATTATTTTTAAAAATAAAATTAAGCATTGGTGGAAATGTGGAAAAATTGGAACCATTGTGCACTGTTGATGGTGATGTAAATGTGAGGAAATGTGAAGCCTCCAACTTTGTTCTTTTTCAAGGTTTTTTTGGATATTCAGGATCTCTTGATATTCCATCTGAATTTTAGGTTGGATTTTTCTTATTGCTGCAAAAAGTTCTTGGGATTTTGAATCTCTAGATC